GATACTGACAGGTTGGAGTGTTCAGTAGTAATGTGCCAATAAGAATAAAACTAATTCCTTTTTTTGCCCGGAAAACATTTTATTTCTCATTTTACACATCATATACGGATACAGTACCAGGATATTTTTAAGGTGATTGAAAATAGTTGGTTTATTTTAAACTAGATATTAACACTAATCAAATACGTGTATTTGGCAAAATAGACACTTTTATGACCGTTTTCTTGAAAATAAGCCGATCGTTAAGGGGTTAAAATAAAACTAGTTTGTTAAACAAACATACACACATGACAGAGGAACATGAATTCGAACTAGGCTCAAGACAGAAGTGAACAGAAGTTAAATATTATACAATTATCTGATACATTTGGCAAATTTATGTGAATATTTTTACGGGAACATAAATATCTTTAGTAAAGATAAAAAACATTCATGCCTTTTATAGAAGTTTACTTAATCTAGTTGTCAAAGCAATCCGACTAGACGATTGAAATTACTCGGCAAATAATCGACCACAATCAATATTCTCGCTCTATCAATAAAAAGGATTGAAATTTAATCGGTATTGTATAGGCTATGATCAGTGTCTTAACGCAATCGGAAAAGAAGATTTAAATTTCTTGGCAAACAATCAACTATGATCTTGGAACTTTATAATGCACCTTTTTTTTATTAAATTGCCCTTTAGTTCTCTTTACAGTGACAATGATTATACCTTTTTTTTAAAAAAAAAAATGTCATCGAATTGAGGAGTTCTCCCGGATATCTTCACACCTCCACACACTACTGTTTTGAAGCCGTAGAATATTGAAATACAGGACAACAAATGATATACAATATTTAAAAAAATATATGTGTAGCTATATGTATTACCTTCGTTGAACAGTCAACCCAATTTTGAGTTTTCGACTACCAATGTTCAATTCCTTAGGCAAACTTGGGAGAAATTTGTCTTCGTGGAGGACTTCTTGAAGGAACTAGCCCGCATTTGCGCTGTACGGAGAGGAAAACCACGAAAATCTCCCACGGTTAGCCTGACGCCAAAGGACTGTAACCCATGATTCGTCTACCCACTGAGAATATTTTACTTCAGCACTATAGTTGACTCAAACCAGGTTTGGAATTTGAATCAACCAGCCAATGCCGGGATTCGAACCCTGTTCTAATTTTGAACCCGATCCAGGAGACAAGAGAATTCTTGGACTTAGTATTGGGAGAAATTTGCCTTCGTGGAGGACTTCTTGATGGAACTAACCCACATTTGCATTACATGGAGAGAAAAACCACGAAAACCTTCCATGGTTAGCCTGATGGTAAGGGGACTCGAGTCCGTGATCCGTCTACCACTGAGGTATTTAACGTCAGCACTGCGGTTAGTGCGAGTCGGTTGCTGAATTCAACCAGCCATCACTGGGAAGCGAACCCGGTTCAACTCAATGGAAGGCGAACTATCTATCCCATGAGCCGCCACTGCTCTTATTTGCGGTTTTAGTATGACTGGTATTGTGTATTGCATTCGGTCTAGATTTTCATTATTTTTAAGACCTCATTTCCTTTCTCAAAGACATTTATAAACTATATTCATTTAGATTCTGATTAACACGTTTTAAATATTACAAAAACAAAAGCATGTAACCTTGATATATTTCTATTTTGTGTACCTGTCAACTTCGATGCATAATTAGTGTCTTTATGTTCCATATGGTTTCGTGCCTGTCTTTGTGTTAAGTCTCTGTGTAAATATATGGTTAAAGAATTGAAATCTTTGAGAAAGAATCTTTGTGAAAGAATTTAGAATCTGTCACTTAAGAGTATTGATATACTATACTTGTATATAGTATACTTGTTACTGGATATAGTATACTGGATATAGTTACTGGATATAGTATACTTGTTGGGGCTTGGCTTACTCGAAATAGACTGGAAAAAACAGTTGTTAACGTAAACAAATGCACTCTTCAATAACTAATCAGGGTCGAGACACCCACACTACGTCACTTGCAAGCATCCCATTTTCCGGCATATACAAACTTGCAGGCACGAAAAAAAGGAAAAAAAATTAATAAAATTTTGAAAACGACGTTTTCCAAGCAGCTTGAAAAGGGGAAAATAATTTATTTTTGCCAGATCTGAAATAAAAAACCTGCTACATATCACTTTCGTAATAAAGCAAAAAACCCGCATGTCTTTCGAAAGTAATGCGTCCTTATTTTTTCAAGTTCAGAAAAAAACATACATATTTGCCTTTTTAGTCTGCTTAAAAAACAAAACTTTAAAACTTTTTATTTTATTTTATTTTATTTTATTTTATTTTATTTTATTTTATTTTATTACTAAAATAATTTTCCCTATCTGTGATTCTCTTTCAAAGATTATTATAAATAATAATCATGAAAGATTAAATAGGAAGTTCAGTCTTTATGATACATTCATTTATTATACATTGATAATGAAATTGAATAAGTAGTGGTACCACTATTGAAAAGAATTCAGTCACAAGGAAAATTACGATACCCATTTAACGCAGATTACGTCACAGTTAGAAAGCAACAGTAGTCTAAGAAAACATGATAAGCAATTTTTAAGTTTATGTTGTCGTTTTAAATAGGATACAAAAATGATAAATTGTCTTAGAACAATAAAATCGGGAAGTTTCTTAACATAATAAATTTTTGTTATCGGATTGAATTTCCGCTAAAGTCACTCATATCTTAAATTATCAGTTTTTTTTTTTTTTTTTTTTTTTTTTTTTTTTTTTTTTTTTTTTTTTTTTTNTTTTTTTTTTTTTTGTGTGTATGTATATGTTGCTCTTGTCTTAAATACGACACAAAGTTGAACATTGAAAAAATTTTTGAAGCGATTTTTTTTAAACAATTTTTAAAATAAGGAGGGTTTTTTTTAAAGGATTTTACTCAAAATATATGGATCGGAAAATATAAGAAAGAAAAAGAAAAGTGTAAGGAGAAAAATAAGAAATTTACTAGCCAAAAATCAAATATTTAAATTTTTCCTTCCATTTAAATATGTATATTTTCCTGACCTCTATATACTTCAGATTGATAGATTTATAAGGACGCATATATGATATCTGTAAACTGTCTGAACTTGGTATTTGTAAGCTTGCAGTTATATACATTCATTTCAAACCAAAACTCTAATTCAGAAGATCACACAAAAAATGACTTTAAAATGCATGTAATACTGAAGATACATGTAATACAGATATACATGTAATACTGAATATATTTTTTTCGAGTAATATACTATGATATAATAACTTATGATTTGCCTCCAATTTATTATTAGAAGAGTCCTTATGTATCATCTGGTGCGAAGAGGATAGGTAGATAGGTTATTATTAGAATAATATTCTGACGAATTACTGTACATTATTTATCCAGGCTTTCTTTTATAATGGAGTAGTTTCTGCTTCTACGACCATGACGGTTTTGTTTTTTAATACAGTTATCAAAATTCGGTTAAAAATTACGGTTCTCCATCAAGTAATGTATGTTTCAATTTTACTTTCAGAATAAAATTATAACATTAAAATGTTGGAAATCAATATTTTTTAATGTTTGAAATCAATTTTTCAACAAGATAATTCCAGAGTCCATTAACATAAGTCCACAAAATAATAGTTCAGAACTAAGTCTGTATTGATTCTAGACTATGTTTATAACCATGACTATTCTAGATTTATGTTGTAATTTTACTTTCGGAGTAAAATTATAACATTAAAATGTTGGAAATCAATATTTTATTTCATTTCTGACAATCAATAATTGTTAGAAATCAATTTTTCAACACGATAATTCCAGAATTCATTCACATAAGACCACAAAATAATAGTTCAGAGCTAAGTCTGAATTGATTCTAGACTAGTCTACTCTCAGCCTTAAATTGAACATTTTAGATAATCTATGAGGTATAGATAGTAGAAAAAGATAGTATTGATTCAGAAAAGAAAATGAGATTGCGGAGTTTCTCTACTAGTCCTAAAATGTTGCAAGGATCTTTCAATGAAAAAAATGTTTCATTTGATTGAAAAAATCGGCGATCTCGCGTTAATTTTTAGAAGTTTTTAATAAATTTCAACTAGGAGAAGCAGATGATATTTGTGATTAAACTCTTATGGAAATTTGATATTTTTTCTACGTTTATTTACAGGTTTTCGATTTTATTTTATTTGGTATTTTCTATTACTTAATGAGCGAGCTTTGCAACTTATTGAGCAAGTAAAAGTTTTGCAACTATTTAAAAAAATTTAAGAAAATGTATATCGCACACTGATTTTTTTATTAAAATTGACTTTTAATTAAAAATTAGATTTACTATGAAGGGTAAAGGTACTGGTACCTTGGACCAGTACAAATATTTGTTCCACCCAGTGAAGAAATTTTAAAATCAGTTTACGTAGTCGATGCTTATAACAACAGGTGCTATTTTCTGTGTGTGATTTTTTCAGGCTTTTTGCTGTGTGCGTACGTTTTTTTATTTTTTTAAATAAAAGAAATAAATGGTTAAAATGAGTTCAATGTACAACACTTTCCCCTATTTATGAAATTTTAAAAATCAAATTCGAACAGTTTCCTTTAGATGGCAGCACTTACATATAAACGTCTTACTGATTACAAATGAAAATCGTGATGTTTCCGTTACAAAAATGCTCTTCTGGGCATGTATTAATAGAAACATTCAATAATTAATTGACTTATTAATTTTAAAACGTTAAAAAAAATACTTTACTATTATTGACGTATTATGGTGGGATATAGTTATTATAACTAAAGAATTAAACATGAATATATCTACCACATTATTTTCTGAGAGAAATTGTATTAAGAATAGCTTCCTGTCATTTCTATAAGTTTGAAATTTGTTTTTCTTCTCTTTTTTTTTTGATAAATTCCTAAAATTTTAGTATTCTTACCGAATATAGCAATACTGCATTAAGTTTATATCATAATATCAGCATTAAAACAGATTTTTTTTCTTACCTGAACGGTTTAAATTTTTGTTTAAATATCGCAGTAGGAGTTTTCTTAACATCGTCCTCAGCAAATCCTGCTTCTGTGTGATTATTTTCATCTTTTGCTGTTGTATCCATGCTTAAAATTTATCTGCATAAAAGAATAAAAAAATTTAAAGCAATAATGAAAAATATCGATCTTTGCAATAAGCATTAAAGTTTAAGAGGAAATTCTTTACTTTCTGCAAGAGTTGCATTTCAACATTTTTTGTGACTGTATTTAAAGTGAAGATAATTTTACTTACTTTCCAACCTGCAACAAACTTCATTAAACAAAGTATGTTTATTTATTTTTGTAACATCTGCTTCAATTATATATATTTTAGATTCAAGGATGTTTTACTTCCTCAGAGGGAACTTGTAATTTTGGAAGTTATTGTCTTTTAGGCATAATTTAACAAAATATTTTTCCTCGTCAAATTTTATTCCTTACTTATTTCAAATTTTTAGATCGATACATAAATAATTAATGTTTAGTAAAAATACACAATATTTATTTAGTGTAAGGGTAGGAGGGAGACCATCAAAGTTTCAAGTAGGATGGAAACCATCAAGTTGCCACCATCAAAGTTTCCACTTGATTCAAAATACTTAATATTTAGAATTGTAACAGTAGGAGGGAAACCATCAAAGTTTCCGCTTTTCCGCATGATTTAAAGTATATAATGTGCATTTACTGAGAAGTTAAAAAGGAGAAATATATCCTAAGTGGTCACTTGTTTTAAAATACTTAATATGCATTATTTTAAGCAATTCAAAACGCAAACGAGAGTCTTTGACGAATTCAAAATACTTAATTTTTATTTAGGATTGGGTATAATATGAAAAAAACACAACTACTTCGATTTAGTAGGAACAACATATGACGCAATGCTAAACGAATGGAATTTAGTTGTTGTTTATTTAGTTATTGTTATTAGTAGTTGTTGTTATTTGTTTTAGTTGTTGCTGTTTATTTAGTTGTATTTAATTTCAATAACTTTTCTTTATAATGCAATAAAATCTGGCGAACAGCTATTTAAACGATCGAACACTTCGTTTGTTTATTTGTGGCTTGAAGTTAGGCTCGCAGAAAATGCCGTTCATGGGTTAAATTTAGTAGGAACAACACAACCTGTGACGTAGACTATATTATACCCAATTGTAAGTGTGGGACGAAGACCATCAAGTTTCCACCATCAAAGTTTCCACTTGATTCAAAATACTTAATATTTAGAATTGTAATAGTAGATGGGAGACCATCAAAGTTGCCCCTTGATTCAAAATACTGTATACTGTACACAAAATAATGTTTATTTAGAATTGCAAGAGTAGAAGGTTTTGAATAAAAAGTTCCAAATAAGTAATAATTTTCAAAGAATTAAAAAATCGTTTGATTTAAATATTTTTTGTTATCGTTTTCTAAACATATATTTAGTCATAAATCTTTTTAAGTTGGCAATCTATTCTATCTCGTTTTTAGTTTTGTAGGTATAAATGTCAAATTAAATTTATATTTCTTGAACTAAGCATAAATTATTTTCAAAGTTGATTTGAATAAATGAAATTAAAATCAACTGCAAGCGATATTGCTTGGAATTACATCAGAAATATATTCTTTATCTTGAAATGATTTGGATCTTATTATGGCAGGTAATAGAGGTTCTACTTAATCATCAATTAATCAGTCAATGAAAGAGAAGAAGCAGTACAATAACAATCTACTCACATGCACAGTGAAGGTTAAAAGTATCAAATCTGATAGAAGCAAACAACACCTATCGATTATAAGTAGATTTGGTTCTAATTACTTCAAATGATAGATGTTCAACTGCATTTATTATTCAGATGGTAACACATAAGAAATATCACATTAACTTCAGTACATGTACATCAAAGATGAGAAGAATAAATCCCAGAAACTAGAGAAAGTATCAATTATCCTAAGTTGATTCGGCCCTAATTACTTGCTATAATAGCTCTGCAGCAATTATAAATCAGTTTATGATACAAAAGAAACAATTTCGTAAAAAATTCTGTACTTGCACACTAAAGTTAAGACTAGTAGTACCTGATAGAAGCAAGCAAATCGAATAAAAAATATTGTATTATTCTTTAACGAAAAAGAAGAAACATAATTGTGTAAATATGCATATTGAAAATATGAAGAAACAAACCTGATAGTAAACATTGCTTATAAAAATTATCATTTTCCTGTGCAAATTCGGTCCTAATTACTTAGATTAATCGATGTTCTACTGCATTTACGAATCAGTTCATAATAGAACAAAAAAGAATGTAATATAAACCTCCCTGTATGCATACGTGAAATAAAAAGGGTCAAACCTGATATCGAAGTAAACAAATCATATAAAAAATATCGATTTTCCTGTTGTTATAATTTCTTTAGAAACATTCTCTCGTTATCGTTACCAAGAAGCTTTATTATCTTAACAGCGGAAACAGTCTCCGAGGAAGAAAGAATAAAAGAAATTTATGGGCTTCTTCATGAAAAATAGATTATAAATACATTTTAAGAGTGATATAAAAAATCAATAATGGAAAACGAAACATGGAAAGTGAATGTCTACCTCTTTTAAAAATCTTGTACCCTTTAAATTTTCTTTCAATAATATTTGGAGAATGTAATTAATTTTCTACTCACAACTAAAGACGTTTTCGTCAGAGAAGTAACCCTATCATTTTTCCAGAAATAATTAGTTTTTTTTCTTTTTAAAATCACCCAAGAAAGTTAATTTCAATTTATAAAATTTATTAAAAAAATTTGAAAGTTTATAAAATATGCACATAATTTTAAAATTTTTTAGAAGTTTTTATAAAAGTTAAAGTTGTTAGGCCGGTCAGATGTATTCTGTATCTTAAAAGCCATTCAATGATTTCCATGTTAAAAAACGCAAGGGACGCAGTCGCTGTTTTGTGTGTTCAACTTTACGGTACTTTTTGTTTTGCTACGCAAAGACTATAAGATCTAGAGATTTCAAATTATACAAAGGTGAGTAGAAACATTTACTGGAAGTGCGAGGAAAGAAAAAAATGCAACATTTGATAATCAGTTCGAGAATTATCAACTGTTAAACTTGTAGTAAAAAATACCCAGAAGGTCGCTCTGCAGCCAGCAAAAATTTTACTAAAGAGTTGAAATTTGAAGTGCTGAAAGGACCATTTTTATTTCTGAACTTCCCCAGAGCTTTTTTCGAAATTCCAATCAGTTACTGCAACTTGCTTAATCTTCAATTTTTTTACTTACTTTATTTGCTTTAAATAATGTATATTTTTCTACTGTTGTATAAAACTTTATTTACCTCTCTCGAAATTTTTATTTTATATTCTCATGCTTAAACGCTGAGGAAGGAAACAAAAAAATAGGTGAGGAAAATATTAGATGTAGCCAGATCTTACCATTCTATTAAAATTTTTTGAAATATGAAAAAAAAAGCTTAATTCATGAGTTCTAGAGAGATTAAAAAAACCATTTCCTATTTGAATTGATACCTACGATTACATATCGTTAAATTACATAAGGCATAGTAAAATAAGGTATAGTAATCTCATAAAGTGTAGTAAAATAAGGCATAGTAATGATGTAAGGTATAGTAAAATTACTTTCTCTTTATATACTTGTTTTTATTGCGTCTATTTTCCTGGTTTAATTTTTTTTTTCTTGAGCAGTTGAATATTATTCAAATCCAGATAATTATTCAGTTACATATAAATATTAAATATAACAACAACAAAATATTATAACAAAACATAATATTAAAAAATAAAGCAAAAAAAATATTAAAAAAATTATAATAGTTATATTTTTTAACTACAAAATGTTCTTTTTTTTTTTGAAAATGTTGACTTAACAGCTGCACTACTTTTCTAATAAATGATACTTATTTCTTAAAAAAAAGTCAAACCATCAGGTTTTCTCCCAGTAATGGGGTAAAACCGGGTACACTTGTTAAATCTACGGAAAATTTAGGAATACTGAAATTTCAAGTACCCCTCTACTCTGTTTCTCTACTCTCTCTCTCCTATATGTAGCATGATATAGTGCTAATTTAAAATAAGCGATAACATGCTTTCACTCTATAAATATAGTTAGCTATGACATAAATATAACATATATATGTCTTTTTCTTTCCTTAATAATGTGATCTAAATTCAGGGAGATTTGTCTTTTTGAGATAGACACGTGACTTTATCTAAAATTATTTGTTATCGGAAAAACGACATTATATGCATGTTTTTTAAATAATATAGTTATTACTGTGCCTAAAAAATTCAGAAAAATTACGATGAGTGGATGTAATTTTAGATGCCATTTATTGAACATTATGAGTCGTTTTTCAATCTCCTTGAAACTATTCTTTCATGGCTTTAATATTTTAATTTTTAAACAAAATATTACATATTATAAATTTATTATTTAAGATATGGAATAATGGAGTAAAATTAGAGACATTAAAGTGTCTAAATTTACATTCAAAAAATTTTTAAGTCATTTTGCAAATTTTTTTTCAACGATATTTATAAATTTTCAGTTGTGAATAAAAAATCGAAAATAGGTTTTAACTGAACAATTATTTTGAGAAAAATGACATTTTTTAAATTCCTATCAATTGGTATCAATGGTAATTAAAAATGTTACCTATCGTTAAAAAATATTCACTAAGTGAAATTCAAATTCAGTTCACTGAGCAAATTTTTTTCTATAACATTATGAAAATAACGATCAAAATGATAAAAATTCAAATGAGAGTCAGTTTGCGATAAAAAAAAATTTAATTCTTCTCTTAAAATTTAGAGAAATTAATAGTGAGGAATATACCATTGCTAGTTTATATCTTTGTTTGTAATACTAGTTTAATTGATATCAATAGTAATTAAAAATGCGTGTTTGTTTATCTATTCAGTACTAGTAATTTTTATTTAACAAATTTTTAATTGACAAATTTTTTTAAGCCCAATAATGCATCAAAAAATTGAAAATTTGCAAAACTGTAGATATTTTACGAAAAAAAATATTTGAGTTCTTAGTTATGAATAGTTTTGGTAAACTATTAACCTGTTGTTAAATCAACTGAGTTGAAAAAATATTAAATGTATCACATGTTTGTTTATGTTTTGGATAATTTAATAATTTAAAAGGAATAACGTTAAGAATTTAAAGTAGTATTTAAGAATTTATAACCTAAAGAATTTAAAGTAGTTATATTTCTTTAAAAACCTATCCTTATATTTAATGTGTTTAATTGAAAAACTCACAAAGAATTCCTAAAAAATTATTATTTTACCAAATTAATTTTTACTAGCATATAAATTTTAAGAGAATAGTTATAATAATTGTTTTTTAAATTTCTTGCTATGCAAATATAGTACTGTCACCATGGTTCTGCAAGATTTTTATACGTTTTTAATACTAGGTTATAACAACAGAAAAATCAATATTTTTTATAAGATCTGTTTACTTATACTATCAGATTGACCCTTTTTGTTTTAAATATGCATGCAAGAAAGTTTTATATTATTTTCTTTTTTGTTCTATCATGAACTGTATCGTAAATGCAGTAGAACATCGATTATTCAATGTAATTAGGACCGAATCTGCATAGGAAAATGATAATTTACTAAGCAATGTTTACTATCAGGTTTGTTTCTTCATATCTTCAATATGCGTATTTACACAATTATGTTTGTTCATTTTTATTAAAGAATAATACAATATTTTTATACGATTTGCTTGTTTCTATCAGGTACTACTAGTCTTAACTTTAGCGTTCAAAGACGGAGTTTTATATGAAATTTTTTCTTTTGTGTCATAAATTGATTTGTAATTGCTGCAGAGCTTCCATTATTGCAAGTAATTAGGGCCGAATCAGCTTGTGATAATTGATACTTCTTCTAGTTTCTTGGTTTTATTCTTCTTACTTTTGATGTACATGTACAGAAGTTAATATGATATTTCTTATGTGTTACGATCTGAATACTAAATGCATTTGAACAGCTATCATTTGAAGTAATTAGAACCAAATATACTTAGGATAATCGATATGTGTTGTTTGCTTCTATCAGATTTTATACATTTTGACCTTCAATGTGCATGTGAGTAGATTTTAATTGTACTGCTTCTTCCCTTTCATTGACTGATTAATTGATGATTGAGTAAAACCTTTATTACCTGCTATATTAAGATCCAACTCATATAAAGATAAATAATATATTTCTAATGTAATTCCAAGCAATATCACTCGCAGTTGATTTTAATTCCATTTATTCAAGTTAACTTTGAAAACAATTTATACTTAGTTCAAGAATTATAAATTTTATTTGGAATTTAATGACTACAAAACTAAAAAGGAGTTAGTTATAATAGATTACCTACTTAAAAAGATTTATGACTAAATATAAGTTGAGAAAACGATAACAAAAAATTTTTTTAAGCAAATGATTTTTTAATTTTCTGAAAATTATTACTTATTTTGAAACTTTTTATACCAAAACCTCCTACTCTTGCAATTCTAAATAAATATTAAGTATTTTGAATCAAGTGCTTTTGAACATTTATCATTTGAGTGGATCATTTGAACATTTATCATTTGAATTACTTTTCAATAGCTGGTGCATAAACATAATCAATAAAATGTTCTGACTACAAAATTTAAAAATAATACTTGAATTCGTTATCAAGATTGGATCAGAAAAATTTTAATAATATAAGACTCAAAACCAATTATTTACACTTTCCCTATCTGACTTATATAACAAAATTTCATAAGAAAAATATATAAAATACCAGCTCAAATTTATTTAATTCTATTTATAAAAACAAATGAGGTTATCCAACAAAAGATAAACAAATTATACGATAAATAAGAAGGGAAAAAAAGATTAATGCATTTTACCAGTTCAAATTATCACTTACGCAATGAGTTGGCTTAGGAAACAACTATTACTCTTCAATTACACCATACAATCATCGCCAAACTAATTAGATAAATATTCGCTAATTTTTTTTTCTCAGTTGCTAGTATGATAAACGTAAACAAATTAATTGACCGCCTTTTTTTACTCAGTGTCGCACCGATACCGCTAGGAGCAGTGGCGAGTCAGTAGACTTTCTGATGGGTTTGCGTCAAGGTCTTCCTTAACATCCGAAAGATATAGCCCCGGGGTATAAAATAACTTCTTTTTCTAGCTCGTTTCCACATAACTGCCTTACTGTCGGTCACTGCACTGGTTCACCAAGTAGACGCCCGCCGACACCCTGAATTTTTGTTATTATTATATTATTTTTTATTCTCTTTTTCTTGGCTTTTTAGGATGATATGCAGTTTGAATATGAAAGAGAGCATATAAAGTCAAACCCCGCTATAGTGAACCTTCAAGGGATCGAAATTTCTGTTCACTATAACTGGGAGTTCACTATATCCGTTCAGCAAACAATTTTAAATGATTTTTCCGAACTGCTCCCTTTTATTGCACATTATTTAAATAAATAACCAATGAAAAGAAATGCAAAAATGATTTAAAAAAAACAATATGTTTTACATTTTATTTTTTATTACTCTGCGTCTTACGTACGTAAAATTCAGGGATGACTTTTATTTAGGGATGGGTAACTGAGATAGAAAAGGCAAACAAGAAAAAATGCTTATGAATACATTCCACTCAGTAGCTGGTTTTAAAAAATCGGTGCATGTATTTAATGTAGAAATTTCACAATTACCAAAAAATGAAGAAGAAAAAATCAGTCGAAGACAGAAAAATTTCATAATGTCCAATTTCCTCTCTTCTTTAGGTTCACTATATCCACAAAAAATAATATTATGTCTGTATAGCAAGTCACGGGAGCTAACATTTCGTTCACTATATCCGGGAGTTCACTATAGACCATGTTCACTATGGCGGGGTTTGACTGTATATACACGGAGAAAAAAAAGCTCAGGTAAAATTACCAAACTGTATGTTGATGACATTTCTGGTAAAAAGAACTATATTCTGGAAATAAAACCAAAATATACGATAGTTAAAACTGTTCATTAGGTAATTTTTTCCATTAGGTAACGGTTTACCAAAAATTCTATTTTTTATAGTTCTTATTACCTTACTAATAAGTAAAAAAATACAAAACTGAAATGTAAAATTTTATCGAATAAATGGTTTTTATTCTATGCTAAGGTATGATTAAATTTTCAAATTTTGTCACATATTATAAAACTATATTTTACAGTTAATTTTACCAAAATCATTACATGAGTGTTTCGGTAAAAATTACAGAGCTTTTTGGTATTCCCATAGAGCCAGGATCAAGGTAAAGTTTACCATAGCCTGGTAGTTTTGACCATGCTTTTTTCAAAGTGTAGGGTTGACCATAGGATCCTATTTTCCGGAAAATATTCCTGATTGGGAACTTGTGCCTTACCTAAGTGTTTCGGTAAAATTTACAGGGTTTTTTGGTGTTCCCATAGAGCCAGGAACACGGTAAATTTTACATTACCCTGGTGGTTTTGACCATATTTTTTTCACAGTGTGGGGTGGACCATAGGATCCCATTTTCCGGAAAATATTCCTGATTGGGAACTTGTACCCTCCTTCAATTAATGATTCCTATTTTGTCAGCTGTCCAAAAATTTACTCAGAAATATCCACGGGTTGTCCATGAATTCACGCAAAAAGTTATTTTTTATAGAGAACATAGGTTTTTCCAGAGGCGTATCTACACTAAGAAAGAAAGCTTAATTGGAAAAAAAAGACTACAAGAATATGATAAAATCTACTGTGTTTCTGGCTCTTATGGGAACAGCAAAATGCTCAGTACTTTTTACCAAAGTGTTTTGTTAATGATTTCGGTAAAATTAACTAAAAAATACTAATTTATAATCTGTGATAAAAATTTAATAAATGCTGTAAAATTTGGTAATTATACATTGATACCTTATAGCCCGGCATAAAAATCATGGATTATGTTTACTTTTCAGTTTTGTATTTTTTACTAAATTTATTTTAATAAAAGCCAGAATTCCAAGTTAAACATTATCATATAAACGGGAAAATTACCAAATGCATAGTTTAAATACCGTATTTTTTGTTTTGGTTTCATTAAACAAAATTTTAGTGTCATTTTTTAGCAGAAATGTCATTACTATACAGAACAGTATTTTTTTCTCCATGTAGAGTTTACAGCGCTCAGAGACTAACTCGGCGATTAGAAAGGGGCTTTTCGAGACCACTTTAAGTTTTAGATAATGTAAACACTTAAATCAACTGCACTTGGCATTGTTTTTTTTGTTGTTGTTGTTTTTTTAGTTTTACATTGAATTAGATTCTGAAACTTTATATAATTATTTTTAGCCCACATAGCTTGATAACTCAAATAAACTTTCATTCGATTCGGTTTAAAATAAAACGCGCTGCATGTTGCTGACGTAGTTTCCATTACACTTCGATGTTTTTTCGACTGATTAATATTTTCTAAAGATGTTTTTCACTCAACATACCTCCAATTTGTAAAAAAATAATAATTAAACCTACGTGTAAAATAAACTACAATATTAATAGGTAAATCGAAGAAGTTATGTGACCAGCAATTAGCGAATGAAACTCGGGATATTTGAAAAAGAGAAACGAATTTTACCCTGGAATTCAGGATTTTATCCAGTCTTTCATAAACCGTGACGTTTTTGCATCACTAGTTCCATAACTGCATCGCATCACTAGATCCATAGCCGATAAAAATTAAGAACCGTCGATCTAACCACTTTTTGTTTGTTTTTTTTCTTCGGGTCGTAAGTTCAATGGTTACCAATTTAGAATTTTTCACAAGCACTTATTTTCGATCATTTTCTTTATATTTCTCAATCATACCAAGTATCTCGATTTTGTGAGTAGAATTGTATTTCTCTGTTTAATTAAACGAACAAAACCTAGGTGAAGTCGATCTTTAAAAAATCTAAATAATAAGGTTCTCATTGAAATAAAAAAACATAGCATTGTTTTTTTTTTTTTTTAATTTCTGTAGCAAGAGTGAAAAATGTTTTCTGGTTTGATATTCCATATAATTTACCAATTTTACCATTTTTTATGCCATAAAACTTTTATAAAAGATTATTCACTGTACATAATAGATAATACATAATACCGAGTCGATAATTTAAAAGATATTTTATTGCTCTAAATTATACCTTCCCTTCATGTTTTACAGATTACAAGCATATAACTTTGTTTCAAACAGTTTAAGTTAAAGCCAGAACCACTATTTACACCCAGGAAAAGTCGATATAACAAAGACACACGATCAAACAGGAATAATTTTAATGATATTCCTACATGCAAATCTTCAAATCAGCATAATTATCTACAAATCGGCAAATGTCTGCTAAAATGATAGACAATCCGGTAAAAAATAGCATGCATTCATTTCTTTGCAGCCAACTCGTGATAAGGTGTTATTACCATGACAAGTTACGAAGTTACTCATAAGTAGAGAGGAACGGGTTACCTTTGCAAAAATATCTGTTACTAATATCTGTTGAGAAAAGAAAAGGTTTGAAATAATTTTACCAATACCTGTAAACTAAAAAAATGAAACATGTTATGAAAGTTGTGTTTGATATTTTTCTTGTAACAGATACTGTATTCGAAATGCTTAGAACAGCTGTTTTCAAAAAGAGTTTCAAGGGTTTTGACTTTTTTTTTTAAACCAGTAAGGATTTTTGAAAGCTATTATTTAAATTATATCCAATTAATAATCCACAGTCTATTTCATATTTGGGCTATTTATTCAAAATCATTAACGGAAAAGGGCAATGAAAACAAAATAAATACCAAAATTTGACTAGCTATTTTTTTTTTTCAATAACAATATATTGAATAAATTATGAAAAGGATTTGTGTTTATAAAAAATTCCATCAGTATTTTTCAATGTAAAATTACAATGTTTAACAAAGTTTGAAGAATAATGTAATTCTGATAACCATTTTCATTTTTTACAACAGTTCCTTTTCTAAAACTGTAATCCAGCTTGTTATCCTTTTCAGCTATGCATATGTTACTGTGAATGACCGAAATTGGTGGTTGTTAACTTCCACCGGTGAATGTTGATATTACATAGTCGCTTTGGTAAATGTCGGAAATATATACTAGATCTAGTTAAGTGCTACTGCCCGATATACATTTGCCCGGTATGCCCTACATCAACGTTTTTTTAAGGTCAAGTGCCCAGTATGCGTTTAATCGGTACTCCGAACACTGATCTTTCCCCTAATCTATCCTCAGCAGATATTAAAATATCGAATAAATATTATAATATGAACGAACATAATAATATGAACGAATAAATTATTATCAAACTGAATATAATAAATATTTCGGACATATTCACCTAAGCGACTATGTGATTGTTGACATTCACCGGTGAAAGTCGACATTCTCTTGATTTTGATCATTCACGGTATCACATACTCCAAGAACAAATTCAGATGCCCCCCGCTCCAGACCTGTGAATTTCACTACCTAACATAAAATCCAATTTTAAGACTATTACTGATGAAAATATATCATTCTTCATAGTAAATAATTTCAAAATAAATAGCTGCTCATGAAATCGGTGTTCCACCACAAGAGGAAGCTTGATCATTTAAGGTGCCAATGCAGGAAAAAAAAATTCACAAAGAAACTGCTGCATTGCGTTTGCCAATGACATATTGAGAAACTTTGTTAACCTTTGAACTTTACTTTCTTTTCGATTATTCTTATTCTCAACTGATGAGACATTAACCCCTTTCTTTTCGCTCCCGTGAAAATGACGAAGTGAGATTTCGCCCTCTATTTCTCGCTCCCGTGATATTTCCGGGCTGGAGTGCTCAGTAGTAACTCGCCAATAAGAATGAAACTAATTTCCTTTGCCCGGAAAACATTCTATTTCTCATTTTACACACCAGATGGCAGTATTTTTAGGATAATTGTATATAGTTAGTTTATTTCAAACTAGGTGTCAGCACTAATCAAATACGCGTATTTGTGAGTGGATAAAAAAATAGGCACTTTTATGACCGTTTTCTTGAAAATTAACGGATCGTTAAGGGGTTAATAAAACACAATTTGAGTGGAACAATTCAGATAGTATTA